GATGATGAGGAGAACCTCTGGTTAAAGCGGCCCTAAAAAGGTTTTGGACAAAATGAATGTCATTGCATTAGATAAAAAATAAAAAGATCCAAGGTAGGTTAAAAATAACAAAACAATGCACTGTTAAAAAAAAGTACATATGTAAAAAAAAAAAAGGAAAAAAAAGGTATCTGATTGTCAAACATCAATGGATGGAATATAATCGGAATTTATCATTTATAACTTAGTAAGAATTCAAACCAGTCATAAGTCGCATGGGTATATTTGTAGCAATAGCCAACAATACACTGTTGTGTCAAAATTATCAATTTTTCTTTTATGCCAAAAATCATTAGGATATTAAGTAAAGTAAGATATTTTGTAAATTCTTACAAAAACACATGGATTCGCTACAGGAGGCCTTTATTCACCCACCTGGAGCCATGTGAGGCACGTTTTATTATGGATGCACGCACTTTATTTGACGTCTTGTGGACTGTTGAACAGAAACACCCGCCGACTGCAATGATAGAGCTTGGAATAGCCAGGACAATTTTTAATAAAACTCCGATTGGATTCGTCTGAAAGAAGAAAGTCATATACACCTAGGATGCCTTGAGGGTGAGTAAAACACAGGCTAATTTTCATTTTTGGGTGAACTAACCCTCTAAGTGATGATAAAAAAAAATTTCATGACTTATTAGTTAACTAATGCAATGACTTTCATACATTTGTAGGTCAGTCCAAAAACTCTTTAGGCACTGTATGTTTGTGTCGCTACTGTGGGACTGACCTAAAAGCACCCCAACCCCAAAAATCACAACCCTTAACCTTTTAACTGTAAAGAGGTAAAGACCATCAGATGATGGTGTGCGAGGGTCTCAGCGAGCCAGGGTAGTGATGAGGCTGGCGCACATTTCGAAGAAGTCCATGGTATGGCTGCCCTGCCGCGGAGCCAGCAGAGGTGTGCTCCCGGTCAGAGAGCCCGGCAGAGAGCTGCTCAGCTGGGGCATCTCAACAGCCACGGTCGCAGAGTCGATGCTGAGGCGTGGTCGATGGAGGCCGGCTGTAGAGCCAGAGCGCTGGGGAGTCGACGACCCTGACTTGAGCTCAATCGTATCGTCTGAAAGTGAGCAAAAGACTTTTTCAATTTTATTAGAGATATTGTGAGGAATAACAAGCTGGATTAACCCTACATCGCCCACATGAGCTCAATGCATCTAGGATAGAGGAACAACTAGGATTTTTGTACAGGCGACAAAAGAGACAGAAAGCAGATCTTTTACTGAAATAATAAATGCCAACGATTTGTGGAAGCATGGAAGCATTTGTTCGCATTAAAACAACAGAGGATTTTAAAGTCTATTTTTACAAAATAGGAGTATTATTTCTGTTTCTCTGTAAAAATATACTGTCTTTCTAAAGTTTGGGGTCAGTAAGATTTAGTTTATTGAAAGAAATCAGTACTTTTATTCAGCAAGGACACATTCAATTGGTAATAAGTACCCGCAAAGACATTTATAATGTTGCAAAAATAAAATAAAAAAGTATTAATGCTATGCTTTTCTTTCTATTCATCAATGTATCATAAAAAATCTCTGTATCTCTGTTTCCACAAAAATATAAATCAGCACAACGGTTTTCAATATTGAAAATAATAAGTAAAGTATCTTGAGCAGAAAGTCATCATATTAGAATGATTTCTGAAGGATCATGTGATACTGAAGACAGGAGTATTGACTGCTATACCATTACTGGAATTAATTAAACTTTAAAATATATTAAAATAAAAACAGTTAATTTAAATTATATTCCTATTTCACAATATTACTGTTTTTGTTGTATTTTTGATTTTAAAAATGCTGACTTGATGAGCATAATTTTTAAATATTTCATACAAAAAAAAAAAAAATCTTACCAACCCAGTTCAGTTTCTGGTGTTTTCAAAGTACATATTTCCCATATATTTTTTTTTTCAACATAGATCCTAATTTGTTTTGCCTTTAGTACACAAAGCCAAAAGTCACAGAAAGCCAATTTAAATTAAACTAAAAGTCTATTCTTCTGGAGTATAACTTAACAATATTATTATTTAATACAACTATAATTTAATAATATCATACTACTTTTCTTGTACAGTAAAAGTAGATCTCTGTACAGGAAAATAAATAGCTGCCATTTTATTTCAGCAAGGGCATCCTCATTTTTGGGGGGATTTTCTTGGCATTAAAAAGTCTGAAAAGACCGACTGATTGATGCTCACCATCAATGCTCTTGAAGTCGAGCAGGTAGCTACGATTGTCCACCTGGTAGAGCTGCAGACTCATCTTCACCAAATTCCCAGTGACAGGATTCTTCCGGCGCACTCTCAGGTGATAGGGGTTCACCACCTAAATCCCACCACAACCGATACAATAACACATCTATATTCTCACTAGTCCAACAAGAATACCTGTGTGTTTCTGAGCCACTCACTTTCCATTCATACTCCAGCTGTTTCATGGCACGATAAACCTCAGCCATGATGTCGTAGGGTTTGCTCTGGCTCCGTATGCCAAGGTGCCATTTTGCTTTCTTTACCGCCAGCGGTTTGGGTCGGGTGGTGTTGAGGGCATCCAGAGGGCACCGTGCCTTCGGGCTGTCGGCCAGGAGCGGGGGCATCCGTTCGGGGTGAGGTTTGACCCCTGGTGGCAGAGGCATGCCCTCCTCCATGAAGGAGCAGGTTGGGGGACTGGAGGCCAGGTAGAACTCGCTGGCCTGGTTCATGATGCGGCGGTTGTCGATGATGAGGTGGTACGCCACGGCCAGCTGGTCTTGAGGGTCTCCGCTGTAGAGGCTGCTCAGTACTTCGGCTTCAGTGCACTCGAACTTCTCACACACCTCGTGCACGGCCTCCTCGTCCACCACTGTGGCGTCATACGAGGGGTCCTCAGGGAAGAGGTAGCAAGGAAGGTCCTGCTTAAACCACTCATCCTCTCTGTCATGCAGGAGGGAAGAAAGTGAAGGGAAAAAAAGTTGCGTTAGAAGAAATGTGGCTATAATCCTTAAAAGCCGAAATCGAAATAAAAATAATAAAATTAGCTTAATAAAACAGCCACAGGCCTAAAGTGTAAGCAGACGTTTGAATGTTTAGTTCTCTCCTCTATCATTTACACTTGGCATTAACGTGCGACCTGCATCTGGATGTTGTCCACATACACATTGAAAAGACAAGTGTAAACGCGCTTCTGGTCGGAATGTTATCCGATCAGCGTGTCCTGGTCCAGAGGTAGTCGAGGACGCATTGTGATCGGATCTCAGTGTAATATAAACGCAATCCAGCCATCGTGTCTGCATTCGCAGGTCGACATCACGCAAATCGCCGCCCCCTCTCTCCCGATCTGTCAGAAGAACAGAGCGCTAGTGAGACTCATACATTTATTTTGATTTGTAAAATGTCCCGCGACTGAAAATTGTTTTCAAAAGAAAACCCACCACTTCAGGTCGGCTTTGCACCGCAGACTTATTTAAATATTGCGCGGGAAATACAGATCCGATCGGTTATCCAGATCGAGAAGTCAGCTGATGTTGCCAAGTGTAAACGCGCCGTGTCCTGATTGACTGATGACTCCATGAAGGAGCAGGTTGGGGGACTGGAGGCCAGGTAGAACTCGCTGGCCTGGTTCATGATGCGGCGGTTGTCGATGATGAGGTGGTACGCCACGGCCAGCTGGTCTTGAGGGTCTCCGCTGTAGAGGCTGCTCAGTACTTCGGCTTCAGTGCACTCGAACTTCTCACACACCTCGTGCACGGCCTCCTCGTCCACCACTGTGGCGTCATGCGAGGGGTCCTCAGGGAAGAGGTAGCAAGGAAGGTCCTGCTTAAACCACTCATCCTCTCTGTCATGCAGGAGGGAAGAAAATAATAGTACTGTATTAATCGTGTATTTATTACACTACTAATCGCACAACATTTATGTTTGGATTTTAAGAATTATTAAGTATTATTCATGTTATATATTGGTTATATTATTTATATAATTTTCAAGGGTTAGTTCAAGTCAAGACTGCAATTAAACATAAAATACATATTTTTACTCAGCCCTAATTGAAGTATGGGTAAAATATTGAACATCCAATAATTAATTGATTAAAGAAAAGAATTGATTAAAAACTCAAAACAACAAATATGTTCCTGGATGTCTTCTTTTAAATATTAAAATGTTTTGGTAAAAAAAAAACATTTGTAT